ACTGTTGGAACGACGAACTGTCCCAAGAGGACTGTTGGAACGACGAACTGTCCGAAGAGGTCGTCAGGGCCAATTCCAGGTGTTGTAGCTGGTAACGCAAGTCGACGACTTATTCAGTTTCCATAGCCCGGTTCATGTGGCCGTTCGCCCAACCGTCTTTGGCGCCGTCATATAACCGTCGGTGCAGCGGATGCAATTCCCGTCAGCGTAATCGATTAAGCTCTCTTGTGCGGATTGAACGGGTCATTCCAATTCGTGCCCACACCCTGTAAAACAGCGGAGCAAACTGTAAGCACGATTACTATAGAAGTAAGGGCTAACCCCCCCGCCCCCCCCCAAACCCCCCCCTCCCTTCCCCAGAGCCGATTCCCAGCGCAACAGCCGAACTGGGCGAGCTCGTCTGAAGGCGATCACAACCCCTGCAGCCAAATTGCCGCATATGGAAGGCGTGGTTTGGCAGTTGGGTGGCACGGACGATTTGACAAACTGCGACATGTGAAGTGTGCTGACATTCGAACTCGGCAGAGATCGAAGTCCTTTGAATGCCTGAAATGCATGTGCCGAAGGGAAGCCGAATTTTTCTTGCATCGACTCCGGCGCTCAGAATTTCCCCAGTAGAAAAAGGAGACACCCCTCCCCCTTTTGCTTTTTATAGTTTTGTAGTTGGACGATGAAGTCCGTAGCAGCTGCCAAAGTCAAACCCCTTGACCTTTTTAAAGGCCTCCGCAGATGGAACTCAGCTGCTACAAAGAGCCTTGGCCCGCCCACCCGTCGCTCCCGCAGGTAGCTGAAGAGGGTAGGTACTGCAACCGTCTTGGCGGTTGTTTAGCGTCGAGAGGCAAGTCCCTCAAGGCGCGTGTCAGCCGACACTTGAGTGTCGAATGAGACCCTCGATAACGCCGAGGGCCACGCCAGTATGGACAACATATAACATGCCATCGCTTCGATAGTTTGCGAACTCATGCATGGTGAGTCTTTATGAGGAAGCCTATAACGCAGCCCACATTAATAAATGTCTACCCCGCGCTGCCTGCAAGTGGTCGGTGATATTTGGTTATGGGCCGGACACTCCACGGGCCAGGTGTGAATCTTTGTTGTTAATTTATCGACACATTTTTGTTTGTATGTTGCGCCCAGCAGGACGTGTCCTATGAGGAGTAAGACGAGCACAAGGGACGACCGAACTGTCGAGGACCACAGAAGTCCGCCGGGATCCGAACTTCGCAGATTTCGAATCGACGGCCAACCGGTTATCAACGGGTGGCAGTAAACTGACTGTCGGTCAATCGTCATAACGAACTGTCGGCCAATCGTCATAACGAACGGAAGGCTAGGAGAGGCAGGAGACAAAAGAAAACATGGCTTAATGACCCTCAGCTGACCCCCGCAAACCCCGAGTAACTGCATGTCGATTCGAAAGTTGTGTGTTGGGACTCAAAGCCTTTGCAGCCTGCGCGGCTTCGACACCGCAGCACCTTCGCAATGTCGACACCCGACTGCGCGAACCGTAAAGCACGCCGTGGCAAAAGCATGACAACAACCAAACCACACTTATCGCGGCGATTGCTTTTATTGGAGGGCAACGAAGATCGACGACATACCGCAAATGGACCCGGCCAGTGACACCGTCGTCAACCCCAATAAACCCCTTTTAGGGCAATTCACAAGGCGAGCAATTTCGTGCACTACCAGGACGCCGGCACTGAAGACGGATTGGGAAGTCCAAGCTGTTGAAAATAACGGACAGATTCACATGGACCTTCAAAGTTCGCCGGGATCTGAATTTGGCGGGTGCTGGAGTAGCAAGGAACCTGTTTTCGTGCGGCCCGTGTCAGTGGAAGGGAGCGCCAGTGGGTGCACACAAGGAACGCTATGTTTGGGCGCACAGAAGGAAGGTTGTGTTGTCGTTGACCGAAAGCACGCGCATAACAAAGGGTAGTGGTGGATGCACCAGCACATAATTCGGCGCAGCGCGACCCCAAACTAACCCCTATAAACATCGATTCTCACCATCGTCTAAGCGAGCCCGTGCGGTGTTCCATTCAGAGGTACTAGTGCAAGAGCTTATCGAACTCGGACATCTCCACTGCATAGACAAGTAAAATGCAGAAATGGATGGAAGATCCCCCTTTCAACCATTCCAAACATTGATTTGGCCAGTTGACAAGGCGACCCCCGACTCGCGCGCCTGGAACGTTGACGTGCGACAGCGCAAACTGCACAGCACGCAGAAACACAAGCATGTCTGCGACAATACTCCGCGCACTGCGACGGTCAAAACCCTTGGGGGGCAACAAAGATCGTGGGCGCGAAAAATTGCTCGCCTTCTCAAATGCCCTTGAAGGGGTTTATGGGGGTTGCAGACGTCGACAACGACCGTGTCTCTTATTTTCGGCAACCCCCATGAACCCCTTCAAGGGCATTTCAGAGGGCGAGCAATTTCTTGCACCCGCAGTCCTCTCGCAATCAACTCACACTCGAAGCTCCAGGCGTCATGCGAAGGACGGATAGATTTGCGCCGATCCTCAAAGTCCGCCAGGATCCGAACTTGGTGGATTTGCCTGCAGCGAGTAACTTGTTTTCGCGTGGCTGCAGGTATTGGAACGGGTGGATGGCGTTTGCACAGAAGCAGACGATGCTCGACCTCACCGCATTTGGGGGCGGCGATGAACGAAGATCCACCGCACACCGGAAATGGACCCGGCCAGCGACACTGTCGTCAACCCCAATAAACCCCTTTCAGGGCAACTCACAAGGCAAGCACTTTTGCGCATTACCAGGCCGCCAGCATTGAAGACGGACTGGGAAGTCCAAGCTGTTGAAAATAACGGTCAGATTTACGCGGAGCCTCAAAGTTCGCCGGGATCCGAATTTGGCGGGTGCTGGAGTAGCAAGGAACCTGTTTTCGTGCGGCCTGTGTTAGTGGAAGGTAGCGCCAGTGGGTGCACACAAGGAACGCTATGTTAGGGCGAACAGAAGGAAGGCTTTGTTGTCGGTGAACGATAGCACGCGCAGAATAAAGGGTAGTGGTGGATGCACTAGCACACAATTCGGCGCAGCGCGACCCCAAACTGACCCCTATAAACACCGATTCTCACCATTTTCTAAGTGAGCTCGTGCGGTGTTCCATTCACAGGTACTAGTGCAAGAGCTTATCGAACTCCGACATCTCCACTGCACAGACAAGAAAGATGTAGAAAAGGATGAAAGATCCCCCCTTCGACCCTTCCAAACATTGATTCGGCCAGTCGAGAAGGCGACCCCCGATTCGGGCATCGGGAACGTCGACGTGCGACAGCGCGAACCGGACATCACGCAGAAACACAAGCATGTCTGCGACAAGACTCCGCACACCGCGACGGTCAAAAACCTTGGGGGGCAACAAAGATCGTGGGTGCGAAAAATTGCTTGCCTTCATAAATGCCCTTGAAGGGGTTTATGGGGGTTGCCGACGATGACAACGACCGTGTCCCTTATTTTCGGCAACTCCCATGAACCCCTTGAAGGGCATTTCAGCGGGCGAGCAATTTCTTGCACCCGCAGTCCTCTCGCAATCAACTCACACTCGAAGCTCCAGGCGTCATGTGAAGGACCGATAGGTTTGAGCCGTTCCCCAAAGTCCGCCAAGATCCGAACTTGGTGGATTCGCCTACATTTGGAGCGGGCGGATGGCTTTTGCACAGAAGCAGGCGATGCTCGGGCGGACCGCATTTTGGGGCGGCAATGAACGAAGATCCACGACACACCGGAAATGGACCCGGCCAGTGACACCGTCGTCAACCCCAATAACCCCCTTTTAGGCCAACTCACAAGGCGAGGATTTTTGCGCACTACCAGGCCGCCGACATTGAAGACGGACGGAGAAGTCCAAGCCGTTGAAAACAACGGTCAGATTCACGCGGAGCCTCGATGTCCGCCGGGATCCGAATTTGGCCGGTGCTGGAGTAGCAAGGAACCTGTTTTTGCGCGGCCGGTGTCAGTGGAACGGAGCGCCAGTGGGTGCACACAAGGAACGCTATGCTTGGCCGCACAGAAGGAAGGCTCTGCTGCTCTCAATTTGTCGTTGTACGATAGCACGCGCAGATCAAAGGGTAGTGGTGGATGCACCGCAACAAAATTGGGCGCAGCGCGATCCCAAACTGACCCCTATAAACACCGATTCTCACCATCGTCCAAGCGAGCTCATGCGGTGTTCCGTTCAGAGTTAGTAGTGCAAGAGTTCATTGAGCTCGGACATCTCTACCGCGCAGACAAGGAAAATGTAGAAATTGATGAAAGATCCCCTCTGCAACCCTTCCAAACCCCGATTCGTCCAGTCGACAAGCCGACTACTTAATCGGGCGCCGGTAACGTCGATGTGCGACAGCGCAAACCGGACAGCACGCAGAAACACGAGCATGTCTGCGTCAAGAATCTGCGCACCGGGATGGTCAAAACCCTCGGGGGGCAATAAAGATCGACGGAAACCCGACAAGGGACACGACCGCTGTCACCGTCGGCAACCCCCATAAACCCCTCGAAGGGCATCTCAGAAAGGTGAGCAATTTTTCGCACTCACAGTCCTCTCACCATCAACTCGCACTTGAAGCTCCAGGCCTTATGTTTTGCGTACCCGGAGGCCTCTGGTAATCAGAACACACTCGACAGTCGAGACCGTCGAAAAGGGCGGTTAAATTTACGCGGGACCTCAAAGTCCGCCGGGATCCGAACTTGGCGCTTGCTGGACTGGCGAGGAACCGGTTTGCACGGGGGATGACGGATATTTGGATGACGGGTGTGCAAGTGCGCAGAAGGAACGCTATGCGTGGCTGCATGGTCAGGGAGGCCCTGCTGCTGCTCACAAGTGTCTGTTCCAAGAGAGCACGCACAATAGAAATGGTTGTCGCAGGTGCACCACGTCAGAAATCGGCGCAGCGCGGCCCCCAATAGACCCCCATAGACCCCGATTCTCCTCATCGACAAAGCGAGCACTTGCGGCGATCCAGTCGCAAATGTTGTGATCCGTGATGACAATGACTGCAAGCACACAAAAAAAAAATGACCACGGCTGGTGGACCCCCAATTAGTACCGCAGACAAGGCGAGCTCGCACTCGGGCAATGGCAGGTTTCACAGCCAGGATCATGGGACCACGAACGGGTGCCAGCCACGAAGTCCGCCCGGATCCGAACTTGAGATCGGTTGCCGCGTTCGACCGAGAGCATGAAACACTTTGTTTTTGCTGGGGTCCCATTGATAGGACTATTGTTTTTGCGGTAACGCCACCCAAAGAACAGTCATGTAACTGATTGATCGACCGGGAGCATGAAAAGATCCATGCAAACCGTAAGCGTGCAATTTCAGTGACGCCGTCGAAACAACAATAATCATCCGAGCAGCTCGCGACTTCACATGCTTCAGATCGGAAGTCCGCCAGGATCCGAACTTCGTCGCACGCTGACAACTGGCAGGGCGTTCCGAACTATCGACCCCACGCCCGAAAGCTGGAAACTGTGTCCCGCAAAACCTAGTCATCAGGGCAACCGGGGATGGCATTGTGACTGCGAACGCGAAACCAACAACCGCCAAACAAAAAAAACGCCGAGTCGCGTGTAAAAGCCTGCCGAAAAGGGAACTTCGGATGCTGGCGAACTACAGCAATCATGCGTTGTTTTCATAGCTGCGCGTGCTCTCCCTGCGACCTCGCGACGGCAACAGATTGCCGCTTTCGCGAGAGCACTGCGCATGATTGCTGTAGTTCGCCGGGATCCGAACTTCCCATCTCGCCAGGCAACAACACGCCACGCGCCGTTTTTTGTTTGGCTGTTGTTGGTTTCGCGCTTGCAGTCACAATGGCGACCCCCCTTGCCCCGATGACTGAGACGTTTCCTGAAGGCGCCCGGGTTGTTCGTTATTGAACGAGGCCATGTTTTCATGTTGAGGTTGTCATCACGAAACATGCGGCGCGCACGCCGAAGAAACACTATCGTCATTATAGCGAGCGGCGTTGGCGTTCTCCATCGCGCGCACACAACGTGTGCATTCTTCGTTCTGGAGCCCGCAGATGTTGCGCGCACAGTCCTGGCATTCGTCGTACGGAATGCGCTGTCGTGTCCCTCACGACCAGCGCCAGGAGCGCGCGCTCAACATCTGTGGCCTCTATGGTGGATCATGTGCACGTTGTGTGCGCGGGATGGAGACGATAACAACTCTGCCGGGATTGACTCCATAGTCTCTTCGGGGAGGGAGGCTCAAGTGTTGTGGCGAGAACACGAACATGGAATGATGACCCCCTCCTGTTTATGAATACCATCCCTCTCACTGCACGCCACGAGGACGGCGGACATCCTTCGCACCGTGGCCACCGCGCGACGCTTAATACCGACACTGGTCGCGCACAACCCGTGTGGCACCTGCTTGTCGCTCACCACCACCGTCGTGACTACTGTCCTTCCTTGCTGGCGCAGTTGTGATAACCAACCTCTAATCTGTTTCATAAGAACAGCAAACGTGCGAGGGAAGTGTTTCGAAGGGGTTTCGTGTTCTGCTGGGAATAGGCGATTTCGTGTTTGCCACAACCACGTGGCAGTGTATTGCAATGTTCACTATGGCAACCACGCGGGAGTGTTTTGCAATGTTCAGCTTGTGATCAACGACCCTTTTTCTTCGAATGAGAGAATAGCAGAGTGGGACACGTGGAACGAATGACAGAGAAGCAGAATGGGACACAGAAACCGTGTGCCCCGATGTCTTCGTCATCCGTTCCCGCCATCCCCGCCACTTGCGACACGTGGCACGACATGATGATAATGATGATGATGGTGATGACGACGATGATGTTGATGTTGATGCTGTTGATGATGTTCATCATGATGACAATGATGGTGATGATTACGGTGGTGATGTTGATCTGGACGACGATGTCGCTGATGATGATGACGATGTTGATGACGATGATGATGTTGATGATGATGTTGCTGATGATGATGATGACGATGATGATGACGACGATGATGACGATGATGATGATGATGTTGATGATGACGATGATGATGATGATGTTGATGATGACGATGACGACGAAGGCGACGATGGTGGTGATTTTGATGACGACGACGATGCCGCTGATGATGATGATGATGTTGATGACGTTGACGATGTTGATGATGATGTTGTTGATGATGATGATGATGATGATGATGATGATGATGATGATGATGATGATGATGACAATGATGATGATGATAATGATGATGATGATGATGACGATGATGATGGTGGTGATGATGATGGTGATGATGATGGCGATGATGATGATGATGATGATGGCAGCAAGAATCATGGGGCCGCTCGCGAGGAAAGAACGAGCGGGAATCAAAGGGGCATACAGAAACCATGTGGCCCAATGTCACCGACATCCGTTCCCGCCGTTCCCGCAACTTCAAACAGGTGGCGCGACGCGGCTGCTCCCATGCGCCTGCAAACATGCCTGACGCCCGACACGTGGGCAGGCAGAACAACACTTTACCTTGACGAGGGCACAGCGCACACGACGACGCAGCTCTTTGACGGGTCACAGTTCTTCGACGAGGCGCAGTTCTTCGACGACGACGAAGCGCACATGATGGCGCAAAACGTTCGACACGGGCTCAACGCAGACGACGGTGGCCACTTGCTGACGCAGGACGCAGAGACAAGATGTCGAAGCGCACACAACTGGAGTCCATTACCGGTCAGAAGGACGGGAAACAGTTGGCGACGAGAGGAAACCCATACACCCTCGCCCGCAGCCGCGTGGCGCAACAGCGAAGCAGCAAAGGCGATGGAGGATGTCGCTGACGGGACGCCGCGCGCGAATGCGCTCGTCAGGTTTGAAATGCGAATGGGCTGCACCAGACCCCAGGCAACTGAGCCTCAGACTGTCGTCGCACCCCATGGAAAGACCCGCCTGTGTCCCCCCGTGCGGCCACAGACCCCGCTCGCCAGCCAGGAGACGCGAATGGCCGCGAACCCCTCCAA